CCCCCCCCCCATCTTGGCCACGTGCCCTCAGTCTTGGCCTGCCACACTGTTTCCCACACCTTCTGTTTGAATTTGTGAGGAAGAGCCTTCTGGTACAGTGGGAACAATGCTGCGCATTCAGAGCATTGTGCAATGTGGTTCTGAGGCTTCAGTAGTGTTTGCAAAGGGCAAAGCATCAGTATGCATTCTGAGGGGTGTCTGAGTTTTTGTGAACAAGGTATCCTAGGCATCCCACATCACAGTGGCAATTGGTTCATGGGACCAGGCTGGAGAAGGAATGAGATTTTCTAGTCCCAATAATATAACATCATCAATCATTTCTTTAAGCTTCCTCCCAAGGCTGATGGGCAACTGCAGCTAGGATAAACAAGTGATTAGTCTATTCCCCTTTTCTCTCCTCTGCCACCTGCAGACTATAAGAAGATGACATTTGATGAGCTGGCCCTGAAGGATCCCTTGATAGCTGTAAAAGTCTTAAGTGAGGACTATGGGGTCTTCTGTGCCAAGTTTCCTTCCCTTGGTATGTACTGCTTAACTAGAACTGTAGCAGACTTAAGGAGATGCTTGGGCAGTGAACAGGAGGCACAGTTTTAAAATTCTGTGACATGACATTGAATGAATCCTGGAAAAGTGAGACAGTCCTTGCTCACTTGCTTCCCATGGTCTACACTCTAGGTCTAGGAGATTGTCTCTAGGAGGAAAAGGAGGAGAAATCTGGTCATTCAGAAAGTCCAGTGCTCCAGACCCTGTGCCACAGTTCAGGGGAAAGGGAAGGATTCCTAATAGCCAGCCCCAGAAAGAGAAGACTATGCTCTGATGACAGATATCCAGAGTATAGTCTCTTTTGAGCTGACCTTACAGCACAGCCACTATCATCATGGGGATGGAGGTAGCACACAGCCCCAGTTTAAACTGTTTGAGATTCCTCTGCCCAGAGCTACATTGCTGTGTTAGCTGTCTGACAGCTGTGTGATAGTGGGGCGGGGGCATCATTCTATTCTCTCTGGAACAGCATTAGGACCAGAACTTCCTAGAAGTATTTCCTCGAGCAAGACGAGCAAAAGCAGCCTGCGCTCAGGGAAGAGGAGTACCTTCATGATAAGGAAACCATCCACCAGACCCAGGTATTGCACCATAGCCATGGGACTTGCTTACTTTCTCTTAACTCCACTCTATACAGCATCAAGATTTCCAGACAGCTGCTGGTCAATTCATTTTCCTGCAGGACCACTCCCACCTGCCTCAGAGACCGAGGCTCCCTGGAGACATAGATGGTGGGTGGGATCTGGACAGGGGAATGTGGGAAGGAGGGGAATAAATTCCTTATTTTTCCCACCCTTCATATGTAACCATCTTGCACGTGAAACTTCCGCCCTATCATGCAGACCTAGGATCATACCCTAGCCTCCCAATGCACTTCTTTTTCCTTTCTTATTTTATTCCCAGTGTAGCTGACTCCTCTTTAGCCCAATGGTACTGCATGGCTTCCACTGACCACCTGTGGTCTGCAAGGCATCCAAAGCAAATACTTTCAGGTGCCTAACAACAGTGCAGTGACTTTAAGCTTGCTCCTACTCCATTGTCTGGTTAGGGTCTTCTGTTCAGAACAGCAGCCACTGGCACTCATTCTGGTCTCTTATGGTAATGTAAATCCAAAAATGTCTATGATTTACACCAAATCAATAGTGGCTGAGTGATTCCATTTGGAGTCAGCCTTATAGGGTAAATTCCCCTGAAACTACTGACCCATTGGAGGTTTCATCTGCCACATGGGAGCATGGCAGGAGGCTTGATTCCATAATGCCCAGTGAATTAGTAGATAAGTATCAGGCAGATATCTGCTTTCCAGTGTTAGAGAAAATATATGCTCTGTGGCAGTGCCTTGATTTGCCCATTCCCATGCACTGAGTTTCTAGGCTTTTCACCATCTCTGCAAATCAGACAAAAATTTACTGTGCCAGTGGAGAAGCTGGCATGAAGGTCCTGCTCTTAAGGCCCCGTGCAGTGGAACTGCCACCTCAGCCAGCTTCTTCCTTCTCTTCAGGTGTTTCTTGGAAGTTCTGCACAGTGCTATCCACCTGGAGTACTTCAAGCAGTTTCTCATTCGACAAAATGCTGAACATCCGTTGCTGTTCTGGCTTGCGGTGGAGAAGATAAGTGCTGAGACCAATGCTAACGCTCTGCGAGATGCAATCACCCAAGTTGTCAAGAATTTCTTCCGCTCCATGACCCCTCCTGGTATCCAGAATCTCCTCCTGCTGTTCTGTGGGGCTGGGCTTCCAGGGAAGGCAAAACTGATCAAGGCTCCTAGCTGAGTGGTAAAGCAAAGGAGATGGTCTCTCCTAGAAGGTTTTTTTCTGGCAGGGAGATGCGCGGAACTTTCACCAGGCTGTTCTGAGGAAGTGTAGGCCCTGGCCAGTGACTCCCCGCACCTGCCGCTGCCTCCTGCCGCCAGGCTCAGCTCCGTGGGATTGCCGGAGTCACCCGGAGCGCAGTCCTGTGGCGGGCGGCGGGGCAGAGCCAGCCAAGCAGCTCCCCCAGCCCCAGGGAGCTCAGCCCGGTGGTGGGAGGCGGCGGGGAGCTGGTGAGGGGGCTGCTCCGAGCGCAGCCTGGCGGCGGGAGGCTCCACAGCCCACGGCGTCGAGCCTGGCAGCGGGAGGCTGTGGAGAGCCGGGGCGGGGGCAGTCCGAGTGAAGCCCATGGAGCTGGCCCGTGGCTGTCTGCCGGCTCCCGCCGCCAGGCTCTGCTCCGCGGGGCGGTGGAGCCTCCCGCCGCTGGGCTCTGCTCATCAGGGCTGCGCTGCGGGCGGCTCCGCCACTGGCTCTCCCGCCTCCGGCTGAGCTCCCTGGCGCTGCCCTGGCGAGCTGAGCCTGGCGGCGGAGAGCCAGGGGCAGAGCCGCTCGGAGCACAGCCCGGGCCAGTGGCTCTCCCCCGCCTCCCACCGCCAGGCTCAGCTCCGTGGGGCTGGCGGAGCCGCTCAGCGTGCGGCCCGGTGGGGAGAGCCAGGGCTGCTCGGTGAACCTGCCCTCCCGGTGCTGCCACCAAGCACTGGGAGGAGGCCAGTGCCGCCCCGGGAGCGGAGGACCCCGCCTGGCCTCAGGTGCTGAGCGTCGTCGTGCCCTGAAGCCCCTGGTGCAGCGCAGGCCAGCACCTGCAGGCAGGCAGCATCCGCTGCTCCCAGGGCTGCAGCACCGCGCTCTCCCTGCTGCTCGGGGCAGGCTGCAGCGATGGAAAGGGGGCTGCTGCCACCCCAACATTTGCTGTAGCCCCCCACCCCACACACACCTGCCCTCCCAGCGCTGCCACCCAGGCAGCAGTGGCAGCCTCCTGTCATCCCACCCCTGGGAGGAGTCCAGCACAGCTGTCCTGGGGGTGCGGGACCCCAGATCTGTACGTGAGATGACAGCAGGCTGCCACCGCGCAATTGAAACAAGTTTTGCTTTCAACTGTTTGAGGTGCAGTGTCACAAAAACCATGCACCTATCTCCTTGAAACTTGGTAGGCTTCATGCCCTCAGAAGGGGCTACCATCCCTGCAATTTTCATCCGAATCAGGCAAGAAATGACAAAGTTATAGGCATTTTCATGACTCCCCATTATAGCCTCTGGGTGAAACATCGAAACGTTGAAATAGCAAAACCATTTTGACAAAATGAAATGGAACAGTGCTTCCAAACTAAATGAAACGCTGTCCCTTTGAAATGGCGAAATGGAAGTCGAAATGAAATGATGCTGTTTAACATAGCCCTAATGGGGATTTAGTAATTTGTTGTACAGCTACATCCACAATAAAATGTTTGTTTAGGTAGGTGACCAGCTCATGTTACACTGAGTTGATTCATGGAAGAACTGGTTTTGAAACAGTGCCAGAGCTATTAAAACTATAAACTAATACACTGGTTTTCCCCATCAATGGCAGAATCCTTGGAGGAGTCCTTATCAAGGACTGGCTTAAGGTCTCTGTGCACGGCTTCAGGTGAGGTAGAGACTCTTGTCATTCAGCTGTATTTCCAGGTAGCTGCACCACAGATCTCTGCTGAATGCAGAGATCTTGCTGCAGGATTTAGGTCCCACTTTGTAGCAGAGTATACAGAGTCTTGAAAATCCTCACTACCCAGTCTAGTGTGACTTCTACTCAGCAGGGATCTTATTTCTCATTTTATTTCTCTTAATTTCATTGTTTCTTAAGATTCCTGTCCTTACGGTCACCTAGCACCCTGGAAGGGACTACTATGACCCTATTCAGGGACCTACTGGTTTGGTTAAGGATGATACTACCTCAGGCAGAGGGTTGAACTAGATGACCTATGTAGGTCCCTTCCAGTCCTGTTTTTCTATGATTTCTATGATGAACTTCACCTAGCGATTCCTGCTGTGGAGAGAATAATGCTTCCTTGTCTCCATTAGCTGTTATTGGACTCAGTTATAACACTTACAATGTGTGTAAGGTACCATTATCTCTAAAGACCCTACCACATATCCAAATTAGCTGGATTGAAACCAGCTATAAAGTTGTTACGCATTTTCAAGCACAAAATTTTCAGCTGGTTGGCTCTTTTTAAAGCTGGATGGACATCTTTACGGCATGATAATTACTTTGCACGTGTGGCCAGTCTAAATTTATTGCACAATTAACCATTGACTTGTGTGGTAAGTACTTAGTATGTGTGGCTGGTCTTTGCACCAGTGGCTGGTATAAATTTATTGTGCAATAAGCCAATTAATTGCATAATATATGTAAAATGTGGCAGGAGCCTAAGTGTATTCTTACAGACATAGGCATGGGTTCGAACATGCAGCAAATTAGTAAAAAAATAAGCTAAGCAATAATGGAAAATGTGTTCAGTAAAAGGGATACAATGCGTAGTGATATTAAGCAGGGTGATGGATGATGATGACTCTGGTCCTTGTGAACAAGAGAGATGGAGTAATTTTCTAGATAATTCAGAAATTATAGCACAGCTGGTGTGGATGATAGGAAATTATCCTGTGTCTTTTCCAGAGGAACTGCTGCAATGCAATGCTCCCATCATCAAAGAAATAGCCAAGGCCAGCATGGTCACCAGCTCCATGTTAATAACAGCACAGCACTTAGTCATGAAAGCAATGGACGAGAAATGGTAAGGGCTCCTGAGATGCAGGGCACTGTTGCCACTGTTAACAGTGGTTACACAACCACATTTCCCTCATGGGGATACACTTCAGCATTAGACTGCTTTCTGTACACCTTGTTCATAGGTTTATAAAGTCGCCTGTTCAAATGTATGTGCTAATGTTGAAAAATAAGACAGCAAGGCCAGCACTAAATCTCAAAGTGCTAACTCAGTCCTGCCTGGCCCCAGCAAAGACTTGCAGCTGATGGAGTGGAGGCTACCTGTATAAGGACAGTAGGGTTGAGTCTGTTCATTTTAATATTCAAATATATGTACATGTTATGATAAGGGAAGGCCATGATGGTCCTTTCTTAACTGGGAGTTCAGGAGCAGGGTACTACACAGGAATGGTAGCCTCTATATGCTTTAACTTGTGGGCAGCAAGAGAGGCTCATGGGGAGGGGCCCCAGATATTGTTTAGGTTCACCTTCTGCTTCAAGTTTCCCCACAAAAATGGAAGTGGCATAAGGAGTCTTGATCATTGTAGAAATGAATGCCCTGCTCTGCTGTCTCCCAATAACAACCTTTACAAACCTCACCTCCAGCTTTTAAGGGCAGTGAGTCTGGTTGCCCTTGGTATGCTTTCACATTCCTGGGGGTCCATTCTGGCAGGTTTCATATGTACCAAGACCTGTTCCCTGGGAGCAATGTTTATGAGACTCACGCTGTCAAAAAGCAGAGGAAGGGAACCTTCATGAAGGACAACCTGGTGAGTAAGGAGAACCTGGTGACACGACAATGTGCCAGAGAGGGGGCGGCCAGTGTGTTTTGTAGATGCAAAGGGGGTCAGGCAAGAAGAGCACATGCAGGGCTGCAGAACAATGGCCAGAGAGGGAGTTAACATCTACAGGCCCAGTCCTGTGAGCTCGACTGCAGGAACAGACCTCTGTGGAGCTTGTGTGGGGGTCAGTGATTTCACATAGTGGTTTAGTTCATAATCGTAGGTGCTCATGGAGGGGGATCCTTCCTCATTCAGACCTTGGAGGATAGGACTGGGATTATTTTGAGGCCCACAGTTAATTACTGCCTTCCCTTGCTGCCTCAGTAACTGCTGTAGTGGTATGTGTAGGCTGAAACCATCTATGCTCTCTAACACAGAAAAGAGTCTGGTTTATGCTACGTGCCTTTATCAGGAGCATCTGTAAGTTCCAGAAGGAGATGGCCAGTCCAAAATCTCGCAAAGCATTTGAGACCTTTCTCCACAAGGAGCTAACAAACAAAAAGGAAAGTATGTCTAGATCCATGCCTTGCTCCCTTCCTATCCTCAGGACCTCTTGTGTGGCAGGGTGTTTTCTTACCAGGGAGTCCTCTGTTCGAAGCAGGTGAGATACCACCTGGTTCAAAACAGATGAAGGTGCTGGGTTGTTCTGTCCATAGCAAGAATCTGCTCCCAAGGAATTAGCCACTGGAGAAGGGACTCGTGGCCTCTGGTCTAGGAGAACAGAGCACTCAAGATGGCATGTGGCACCTAAACCAAGTACCTGGGTACCTAGTGTTAATCTAAGCACACATGCAAGTGGGCTTTTTTATAGACCCATTAGGTGACATCACCTAGGCATCACAGTTCAAAGACCAGGCTGGCTCCACCAGTTGGGCACCAACTCTGTCTTTGGGAATAATCCAGACTCACCCAATGCGCCCCCCAGCTACTGCTTGTTTTTCCAATGAGTCTATGGAGCAGCATAGGAAGTATTTACACAGCCTCTGATCTTGCTAGGGAGCACAACCATGAAAGCCTCCCCCACCCTCTCTCCCAGCCACTTGTTCCTGCTCTGCACATGCCAAATGGCAAAGAATGCCATGAGGCCTGTTTGGTGTGCACCCATCACAGTGCTCTTTCCCAGGCATGCTTTGTGGCACAATCCAGAGCTTCTCTCATTACATTTGCTGTACATTTTTCA